AAAAAATGGATTTCCAAAAAGGTTTTCGTCAAACAATAAGGGCCTATTTATTTTATTAAGCATTATTTATCATGAGAGAATTCTCGAAATGCCAAGGCATATTGCATTACTGAGATTGTGGATTTATTCTATGACAAATGCATACTTGCTCCCTCGCCTTATGCGATTAGCGGGAGAAGCAGAGCCCCTTTACGGAGATAGAATTTCCAATTCGTCACTTAAGCGCAATCCCAATAAAATTTAAACCATTAGAATTTTTTTATATAGACCCTTATATTTAAAAAAAACCTTTATGAGAAATGACATTTTTAAAGGGGCTATTTAAAACTTGATTGATCTAAAAAAACTTAGAAAATACTAATGTATCCCAAATGATTTTAGAAATCGTTTGAATAAAAAATTAGGGACAAGAATAAAAGTTTGACAAAATATTTAAAAATTCCCAGTTTTTATGGGTGATAACTAAAAACTTAATTATTTAAACAAAAGAGTTGATGACCATACTTATAAAATCTTTACCTACAGATATGCAAAGCAAACAATTCTAACTCGGAATATTTCAACCAATAATTCATATCCTCCTCACACTTGAACGGAACCGCGTCCTCGCGGAAAAAAAGTGTTTCAGAGTAGAATTTTTGGTTGAAATACCAAGGATATGATGACTAAGATGGTTGCATATGTAACATATTCAAAATGATGATTGAAATAGTAAATAAGCATAACCATAAAAGTTTACCAGGAGAAGTCAAACAGGAATCCAAATAAACCAGTCAAGTCATCAATTCCAGCTCAAATAAGATAAAAAAAGTTCTGAAGAAAGTAGGAGATCACTGCGGAGGCCGAGAGGTGGAGGGATCGTCATCTCTGGGATGCTGCTGACGCGGAGGGAGGTTTGTCGGGTTTTCGAAACCCAATGCCTCACGTATCCTGTCTAAACCATGCACCTGCTCCTGGAGTGCCACAACGGGCTGCATAAGTGTGTTCTGGTTCTGTAAGAGCTGCTGGGCCCATGCCGGTGCTACCTCCGTCTGAGCGCGAGCCAACTGTGCTCTGGTAGGTCCTCGACGAGGAAGGCGTTGAGACGATCTCTCTGACTGACCGGATGACTCTCCAATCTCATGTGAAGTGCGGCCAGTAGAAGCCGTAGTGCTCTCGGAAGAGCTAGGAAAGAGTCTCCGGTGGATGTGAGCATTCCGGAGCATGCCGGCATCTAAATCCCTCATCAACTGCACAGGCCGTGGGATGGGTGCGTCCCCCACGAGGGAGCGAAAGAGCAAAGTAATCACAAACCCACAAACCAAGTGCGTTCTACACCCGTAGGACTGGGAGTATAAGAATCTGGCCAGGTACACAGCCACGTTCGCCGGCTGGCGGTCGTGCAAGCTCCAAAAGACAAACATATCTTCTTCATAGACCCTATAAGTGTTCGACGGCCTCCCAAAGAAGGATGTCGAAAGAACAAAAGATAGGATCCTCCAGCTGGGCCGAATCCAGTAGCGTGCCTTACTCTTCTTGTTCATAAACTCCTTGTCGTCAGATGAGTGCTCCCTCCAGAAAGCTATAGCATCAAAATCTGCGGGAAGACAAAAGGGATCGTCGTAGAACTCAGGCTGCTCGGTCTCCTCCTGGGTGTAGATCCCGAGACGAATAGCCATCTCTCTCACTGTCAGCTGAAACGACTGGCCCGCAAGAGTGAAGGCAAACGTGGTATCAGCAGTGATCAAACTATGAGTCATCTGTCGTGACTCAATCTCCGGGACAGCAGATATCGAGCATAAGAACTCGATGGTCAGTGGTAGGCTAGACTCTGCCCTCATCTTAAGCAGGCGCTGCCATCTGGTCCCCTCAAGCAGCTCCTCCATCTCCTCTGCATAGCCATAGTCCGTCAGTGTATCCTGAGCCAGACACACCGACTCGTGTAACACCCGTGAGTGTCCCCACTCATCGAACCTCGTCCTAGAAGCAGCATCGATCAGTTGGACCTCATTACGGTCCACAGTAGGGTAAGAAGGACGATGAGGCATCTGCATACACATAAACAAACACATAAAATCTTGCCCCCAAAACTGGTGCGGCAAGTAGAAACTCAAGAACAACAAATAAAATTATTGAATTTATTTAAATATTTTAGTTATTTGAATGACGGGTTGCCTCCCGTTAAGCGCTTCTTTAACGTCCGTAGCTCGACGCTCACCCACTTTTTCCGTGACTTTCCGATCCGAGAGTCATAAAGTTTGGCCCTTCTGACTCTCTTCTGATGCCACCTTGTTTGAATCTTTGCTCCGTCAAGGTCCAGGATCCTTGACTCGTCCCTACGGCTTGGCGGCAACAGGATAAAAGGAGGAGACTCTAGACAGGTGGGTGGTGGCGGAAGTCTCCTCAGTTGATCCACATCATTGGCCTTCATAGCGAGATTGATTTTTTCCTTATCTTCAACAGGCTGACCATCCATTTGTGGTTTGATGATTACGACCGTGCTTTCCCCCATGGATGAGTCTTCAGTGTCACTTACCAGAAGTTCATCCCAACTCTCTTGGCTCCAACTATCCTTCGGGCAGACAAAGTCACACCCGTCAAGTAGGGAGTCAAAGAAAGTTTGGTCTAAGTCTTCTGATGAAGCATGATTATCTATAGACGTTATTGGTTCCTCTGTGCTAGGTATTTCTTCGTCTGTAGATTCCTCCTTAGACTCTTGAATGTTGGAATCTTGGGGGTAGGTAGTGGGCTCTATCTCCTCCAGAACAGGTTCTTCTGGAGGTGTGTCTTCAACACAATTAAGGATATGGTCGTTTATTGCCATAGGCAAAACTTCCTCCTCCTTCTGCTCTTGAATAAGCATAGGTGTTTCTGAGTCAGGTTCCTCAGTTGGTTCCACCTCTTGTACGACTGTGCCGGTTGAGACTTGGCTTGGAGGGTATTCGGGTAACATCACCACAGTAGCCCCAGCAAGAGTTGTTATGCTCTCGGGTTTCTGTGATGGTGTAGAACTTGGTGAATCTTCTAGAACTGGCACCTGATGGTTGGATGGTTCAGGGTTGGTCTTAGGTTCTAGAGCCTCTTTTTGAGCATTAACTTCCTCCAATTGTGGATCTTGAGATTGGAGGGAGCGTTTAAGCTCAATAGCCTTACAGAGATCATTGACTAATTTATCAGCTTTAGCCTCGGCTTCTAGTCTCTCTCTTTGGAAGTCGTCCAACATTTTCTGCATCATTTCTGATCCTTCGCATAATCTCCTTTCGAACTCCTTTTGCTTCCGGACTGATTCGAGAAGTTTTGCTCGTTCTCGAATTGCCACCTTGTTTGCTTCAATTTGTTCTTCCGCAAACAAAGTGTAGTCACGGGAGTAAGGTGGTTCGTACCATGAGCCTTCAGCGAATAAAACCTCGTCGAAATAGAAGATTTTCTGCTCTAATCTTAGGATTTCTTCGATGAGCGGATCAGGTTGATCGTCGTATATAGGCCCATTACGGTCATAGTCACCATGAGGTTCATAATAACCTTCTCCAT